TTTTTTTTTTTATGAAAAAATGTTTGAATGCTAGAAAGATTCCCACATAGGGCTCTTCAAACTGAAATAGCAACATCATATAGTAACTTTCCATCCCGAGGTCACTATTTTAGGTGTGTGTTTTTGTATTTTATTTCTTAATTTTGAGCTTCATGTGTAACATTTATGTGGTTGTTTGTTGTTAGTTTCATTTATATATTGATAAATATATAGCATTTGTTTGAATCGATGAATATCATGAGATACTCAATAGATAATGAATGTGGACTCTATATACTTAATAGTATTAAGATTTCTAGATGATGAACATGTTGCAGCTGTTCTAATCTGTATTACTTGCGCATTTATTCTGAAATTGAACTATTTAATTGATCTTTATGCTAGTTTTTAATAGAACTTAACTGTATTAATAACTTATCAGTAAATATTTTTCCTTTAATAAATCACAAATTTATACCCTTGCTCCTACTATTTTACTTTATCAGTTATGTTTATTTCAGTTGTGAAACATTCATTCTCTTTTCAACTTGGAAGTATGACGGCAATCCTTAAAAAAATCAGAGGAATTATCATTATCCATACTTGTCCATCGTTATCAAAGAGTTCTGAAGTTCTTTTGATGTATTATAAATTAATAAATATATTATAGTTCTATAATTAGAATTGCCTCTTTGCAGGCCTCAAAAGCTGCATGAGACAAGGATATACCTATATCCCAGGAATCGAAGAATTACTGGCTGATCTGAAGAAAAATGGATATGAAATGCATAGTTGTACTAATTATCCCATCTGGTATAGTTAACTACCTCATCTTCTAGTGGAAGCTCTAAAAAGTATTTCGATGTAGCATCCTATTTTTTGTTTTCTTTTGCAGGTATGAAATTATTGAAGAAAAGCTTAAACTCTCAACCTTCATATCCTGGACCTTCTGTTCATGCTTAATGGGTACCTTATCTTCCACTCCTTTTAGGTCGTGTACATTTTGTAGCCAACTCAATTTAATTATCAAGGATTTGGATTCAATTTTTAGCACAACCAATGTCTACTTGTGGTCCTGACACACTGTTTTTCTGTGACCAATATGCATGTGATCTTTAGTGATTGCCAATAAATGAAAGTATGTTGGAATATTATAGCCTTGCCTCTTTAATTGAAGGACACTTGAGTGATTACATTGTGTTTTTGTTATTGCATTTGGTATGAATCATTGCATCGAATTAGCCGATGAAAGTTGAACTTTTTTGTTAAAATGCATGAATGCGACACCTGGGAAATATTACCAGCAATACGTTTATATTTTCTCTGTTAATTGTCCTTTCATAATTCATGTCAATCATGAACTCTTGTATGTGCAGGAAAACGGAAGCCTGATCCTGATTTTTATATGGATATTTTGAAACACTTAAATGTGGAGCCAGCATGTTGTATCTTCATTGATGACAGGTATTCTTGTTTGAGAAATGCTATAGGTACATTTATATTGTACATAGGGGTGTACGTAACAATCACAATGAGTGGGACCGACCAAAAATAAAAAATCAAGTGGACCCCACTCCATGTGAGTGTTATGTACATTTTTATGTACATTTATTATGTATTTGTAGCATTTTCCTTCTTGTTATTATGTCTTATTTCAATATTGACCTTGGGCCCCCAGTGGCACATAAATACCACATAGAACAGCACAACAATGCATTATTATTCTAGTAATGCTTCCCTATCCACTGCGGGCACATGTTAATATGCCCACCGCTTATGTGGCATGCACACATTGGTGATGTTAATATGTTCAGAAAAATACTATCACCAATGTGTGCATGTCACATAAGCAGTGGACATATTAACATGTGCCCACCGTAGGCTTATGTGTGCATGCCTGTGAGCATTATTATTATTATTATTATTATTATTTTATTATTATTATTAATGTAGCCTTCCAAGTAGGCTATTAGTTTTCAGACAGTCCAAAAGTAAACAAAGCTCCAGCCAGGAGAGGAAAGAAAGAGTATATGCTTTAAGCTTGTTAATGCGCAACCTTACTTGTCAAATCAAGTCATTGGTCACAACTTGATGACATCTAACATGTCTTCATGGAGCACAGTGGGCATACGTACCATCATTGGGCCATTGGGCATATGTGAGGGCCACCTGGGCTAGACGTGGCCAGGGTCGGCCCTGACCACCGGGTCGACCTGGAACATACCTGGCCATGGTCTAGAACCGACCCATATGTACTGGTCTTTGAACCGGACTTGTGGTAATACCGAGCCGGTTCCGGGTCTTTGTTTTTTTTTGTTTGTTTAATAACCCGCCGGTTCCGGATCGGAAGACGGGTTGACATTGTTTTTGTTTTTTATTTTTAATTTTATTAAAAAAACCGGTGGTTCATTTTTATTTTCTTTTATTAAAAAAACCGGCGGTTCAATGAACTGCCGATTCGGGCCATTTCCGAGAACCGGCCATTACATATAAGCCGGGCCAGTTCCGGGCCCAAATTTTGGGGCCCGGGTCGGGTCGTGAACCGGTTCGGGCGGTTGGTCATGTCTACACTGGGCGAGATCATGTAATAGTTTTCCTTACATCATTTTTTTTAATGTTATTTTTGCATTTATAAATTAAATAAAAAAACCTTAGAAATATGATATCAATCATCACGAATAGAAATGTATTTTTTCAAATTATTAAAAAAATATTTAATAATCAGAGGAAAAAAAAGAATGACACTTCATTTTTTTAGCAGCTATGTTTTTCTGTCTTATCACCCCTATGCCGTACCAAAATCACATTATCTCACCCCATTCTCCACACAAACATAACCATTTGTAAACCTACTCTCAAATTTACA